AACGTGGACATTTCGTCTTCCCTTTCAGAGCTGATGATTTCCGATCGTCACCAGAAAAGGGAGATCAGACAGTTAGAGCAGGAGTTGCCTCGTTGGCAGGTCCTCGTTGACAGTATCACCGGTACGTGAACTTTCACTCACCAAGCGCAGGCAGATGACTTTTATAAGTACATTTTTGTTTTGAGGAATCCACTTTGGTGGAACTCATCTGTGTTCGTGTGTGTTGGGGTCAACAGGGATGAGTATGCCCGACTTTGACAACCAGACGCTGGCAGCATTACGAGGACGAATGGTACGCTACCTCATGAGATCGCGAGAGGTAAGAAATCTTTCAGAAACAGTTGTTACAGAGGAGCAATGTGGAGGTATAATGTTTGTGGAAGAAACTGAGAGGAATGTGTGGAGATTTATTTTCATTATGATGCTAATTATCTTTTTATTTGCGTTCACACAGATTACGTTGGGCAGGGCGACCAAGGACAAACCCATAGATGTAGATCTATCATTAGAGGGACCTGCCTGGAAAATATCAAGAAAACAAGGTAAATAAACTGACATTATCAGGCTGTAATGGGACATGCAAAACTGATATTTAAAATTAGTTACTGGAATAGTTACAATTAATTAAATCAATTAAAAGAAAATTAGAAACCAGTGAAACATACCCACAGTGTAGGTTTTTGGAGCATTTGAACAAATATTTACTAATATCATTCGTGCTCTCATATTGAGATTATTTATCCTAATGATGTGAAAGAGAATTTTGCACACACACTGTCAGTCACCTTTGTATTCATATGGGCCGAGACTGAACATGGACATAAATATGTGACTTCTGAGTTATGCAGGCTAATGTAAAGTTAGCCTGGATACTGCTGCTGAAACACAAAATATAGCTTGTCAGCGTCTAGATTTTTCCTCCTGCTGTAGTTCTTGGTCCCCAATAGGTTCCTGCTCTGGGGTTGTACTCTCCAGGAACTTAATTCTTCACAGCATTGTGATTAAGGGGAATAAACATTCATTGTGCTTTGTTTCTTCTTAAAATAACAGCCAAGCTGCTGCTTTGTTCTCAGCCAGAAATAAAAGTTGTGGTAGTTGCATAAACTGGAGTGTCACAATCCTTTAGAAGTAGCACATCAGGGAGTTTTTGTCTTTAAAGGTCAAGTATGTTAATAGTTTTTAATCGACAATTGAAGTTATAACTCTTGAGTATATCAGTATTTATTCTCATATTAAACACTAATAGTTTCCACTGGCACCAGTTGACCCCCTTTGATATTGTATTGATGTCTAAGGAATTATTAAACTGAAGAATAATGGAGACTTCTTCATCGCCAATGAGGGCAGACGACCCATCTACATAGATGGCAGGCCGGTCCTGTCGGGCAACAAGTGGAAACTCAACAACAACTCAGTGGTGGAGGTGTGTGGAGGCTGTCAACCAATCGGTGTACGATTCAAATGGAACAACCACAATGTATTTGACAGCACACTAATACACTCTGTCTCTTCAGATTGCAGGTCTTCGCTTTGTGTTTCTAATTAACCTGGAACTCATCTCACTAATAAAAGCTGAAGCAGCCAAGATGACACAGCAGTGAATGCCAGCCACCCAAGCAGAAGAGTGAACATACAGGACCTACTGGATTCAGTCAGTCCCTTCTGCGTCCGACAGTTTCTCTCACTAAGCACAACAGTGCTACAACAAATCAGACAGCCATGCTAACCTGGAATGTGAATTTTAAACAGACTACAGCTATATCCTGGAGCAAGATAGTACCAGGTTTGACTTGTTTGGACATTTTCCATGTTGTAATGTAGCTTTGTTTTTCCAATTTTTCAGAATATTGTATTTAAATTCAGTAGTAAAGCTTTTTCAAAATATTAAACTTGTATACATGATGTTCCGAAGTTCGGTCCACTGTTGATATTAACAAAAAGTTGTACTGTGACAAAAAAGTAGTTAAAAAATAATGAAATACAAGTCAATTTTTATTTATTTAGCCCAATATCACAAATTACAGTTTGCCTCAAGGAGCTTTAAATACACTGAATAATCTGCATTCATGAAGGTGTCTGAAAAAGATTCTGGGTATCATTCAGCTTTTTATCTGTGGCATTTATAAGCAATTAAATGTTTTTCCATATTTTCTTTCATGTTTGATCAGTTAGAAATCAAAATGGTAACAAAAACCCTCAGACACTTACAAGTACGGAAGTAAAAGACCAACTCATTGGATCTTAACCACAGAGCACCAATGAGTGCTGCTTCTTTACGCTTAAGATACGCAGGTAATGCACCTCAGGGCTGACTCACACACCTCCTCCAGTGGACCAGCCAAGGATTAATAGAACAGTGAAACTCTTAAGTGCTCATGGATCCTGTTACCAGTGACATCTGTTTCCTGCCCTTTAACCTTACAGTCATACAGTTAAAATTGACACATCAGCTATACATTACTTTAAAATGATTTGACTAAACTAGAGCAGTTTGGTGTAAATAGGTCAATTTGTTATCAGCACGTGGATGGGGAGGATTTGGGGGAAACGCAGACCTGTTACTGATTTTGTGTTCTCTAATAAGTTTTGGCACATGGTTAGGGTTGGGCAGACTCTATAGTACAAAGACAGGCAATAATTGTTAAATGATCTGAAACGTGTATTCCTGCACTGTTGATTGTGTACACTTTGCCAGCAGGAGCCCAGGAGTGACAGATAATATTATTCTAGGTTTTGATGTCCACATATATACATTAAGTGACAGGGTTTGCCTACAATACCAATAGAAGCAAATACTCAACATTTTCTGCATCTGTCTCCTCTTTCTCTTGGTTCAACAAACTACTATATACGGTCAGGCTGAAACACCGTTCACCTGTGTCAGGGAAACAGATTTAAGACTACAAAAAGAAAAAACTCCCAAACATCCATAATAGATGTACAAACTACTTGGGTACAACATCATTTAAAAACATATTGCATCAAACTAACATTTGACCTGAACTCTACAACAAAAGTATCTTTAATGACATTTGCAGACGTACAAATGACTCAAACCCAACTGCATACCATTGCTCTTATACCAATATGTGTTTAAGGTGTGTGTTTGTGTGGCCTGGTTGATTTCTCTCTGTGTGTAAGTGTCAGACAAACCTCCCTTAAAACTGTGAGCTTAAGGAATTGTTCTGTCTGTAAACGTTTCAATGGTCAACAGGATGTCCTGGTCCACTCACAGTGAACTTCACAGATAACTAAGAAAACCCTATTAACAGCATGTATCATGACCACAATACAAAAAACGTATTAATGTAAGATTCAAAGGGGCATGTGTAAAAAAAGAAATACCAGAAATGTTGGAAATATTGTCATCAAAACACAGACAGTACAGTCCGGTGAATCTGGCGTTGCCATAGAAACGCAATGTAGGCCACAGGTTATGTTTTAACTGGATTCCCCAAACATTGCAAGGCTCACACTGGCAAAGTTTAAACAAGGGGAACAGACAGACAGTCTGACAGTGGTAGAATCCAAACAATACATTCTTCTTCTCAGATATGTGTCATTTAATCAAAATGTTGCCCTGAAAGAGAAGAAACTGAAGCGAAGAAGTGTGGTGCTGCTGGTTCAGTGTCAGAACTGTGGGACACGTTTGTTTTGTCTAATGTTTGAGCTGAATTTGCAGCATCGTTGGTGTTTTCTCTGATATGTTGGTGTCACTGACAGAAGCACAACAGTCCCTTGACAGCTCGAGTGTGAAATATCTTCAAAATGTGAAACTCTTTATTTCTTTCTCTTCAACAGGGATGACTTTGAAGATTACATTAAAGGTGCACTGTGTAACAATTTAACGTCAATAAGTTAATACAGCAGGCCTTTAAAACCAAAATACTGTAAAGAAGACAACACCACCAACACTTCTCCCACTTCTGCATTGTACAACAGTGAAACTTATCTCTGGTGTAACTGTACTGTTTCCACACACCTTTCTACTTTATGGGCCTGCAGCTGACTGGAACAATAACGCTGACTGATAAAGACTTCCTCATTGACTCCCGCTGACAAGGGGAAACCAGCCCGTTAGAGGACTGAGGCTACTGTCAACAAATAAAATGAATCTAGAAAAAAAGATGTTTCTTCAGGTGAGAGGATTCACAGCTTCTTTGTGTTTTTCACTTTACCTTCACCATCCATGACTTTTGTTTCTTTCCTGTCAGAGGGAACACTGAAGAAGACCTCTTCATCCCTCCTAGTGAGAAGACTGTTTATGATGGATGCATTTAGTGGTTTATGTGATGTTGTCAGGATTTTGTGTGATTTGGGTTGAGATTTCTATCACGCGGGCTTATCTCAGATCACTCAAGTGTGAGAGGGTTATGCTGCAGACTGGAGCAGATGCTGTTGTTGGGCGTCTGTATTTTATACACAGCAATATTCCCTTATCTGTTGATAGTGGCGTGTTTTATTCAGACTTCCCCTCTGCATGTTTACAATATAAATTCAGGTGCATTCAAGGTTGGAGAGTTTGTATTACAGGAAAGGTTATGGAAGCCCATTTCTGCCAGGAAAAAAAAAGATATATATTCACAAACAAATCTAATTACCACATGACAACTTACACACATGCACTTTGCTCCCTAATATATGGACACTGGTAGCCTACCACTATCCAATAAACCATCCTTTATTAATGGTCTGTAAATTGTAATTCATGTCCTTATTGATGGACAATAAGTCATTTAGCATTTCTTACTTAAACGTGATATTTTGCAGCCCTATTTCTGAACTGAAGCCACGTAATCAATTACGTTTACACATCTTAGCAACCCAAAATGCATAATCAAACGGACCTTTAAAGCTCTAGTAAACGATTCATTAACATCCATTAAATAATCAATTCGTCCAAACGGTTGGTTTCAAAGTGTTAAAAACCTTTATCTCAATTATTTTGGGCGGGTAACATACGTGCCTCGCCAGCTCTGAGAGGCTTTGGGTTGCCAGATGACGGAGCACAGATATGAAGTAGTAGTAGTCTTGAACGTCACTCGCCTGGTGTTTGTGTAACGTTTCAGAGTTTCGCAGCGTTGCTGACTCGGTTGTACACACAGGTTGTAACATCGTGGATCTGAGTTCAAGCAGTCTCAACAGAAGTGAGTAACTGGCTGTTTTATTGTTTAGATGCGGTAAACAGACACTTTAACATTAACGTTTCTTCTGTTTATGATCACATCTGAATGTGTGTGTGTGTGTGTGTGTGTGGGGTGTGTGTGTGAGGTCGGGCCGGCTGGCTATCAGTTGGTGTTAACGTTAGCTAACCAACGTTAATTCTTCAACAGCCCAACGTTTCGTTATTTAACGTTGAGATAAACTATTTGAATTGGCTGTCTTAACGTCACATGTGTTTATCTTCACCGTCAGTCAGCTAATGTGAACTATTTACAATTAAGATTGATGTCCACAGGTCCTACAGGGCTGCTACACCACTGCTAATTAGTCAGAGATATATATAAAATATAAACATTGTCTAGTTGTTAGTTGCTCCAAATATGTTTATTTTATGTATTGTAATATATTGTGTATGTTATGTCGCCGTTATGGCCAAAGTATGTTCAGAAAACATTACATTATAAACATGACATAATGGCTAAGTTAATACCTTTTAGCTTGTCAGAAATGCACCCAGCATCATGCTTGGTAGGGAAAAAAGACTGGTGGTCGATAAACAAGCAGTTTAGGGAGCTTGTGGTTGATTAATATCTGGAAACTCTGGTGTAAGTTGTTTACATACAGTAATTACTTCACTGAGTTATAACCATGTAGTCCTTGTTGTGCACCACAATACACAGGTTGTCATAGTTTCATTAAAATGAACAAAGGCAACGTGGCAGCATGAGTCAGATTAGGGGGGCTGCATATTCTGGAAAGAAATGCATTACATTACAAATACATTTATAGAACTAAAATGTAATATATATATATATATATTTTTTTTTTTTTATTTTTTAAATGTGGGATCTTAAATGAGACTGTGTCCCACTCATGCAGACATATTCTCTGATCTCTGAATATTTAAACGCCTCAAATGTAACTTTGTTTACTGTGTAGACCCCGATTCGAGTTTTAATGTGACTGTTTTGGCAACAGGTGAATTAGTGTTAGAATTTATCTATTAATTTATTTCTTTAATCTAAAACAGTAGGAGATTAACGTTTCACCTCCTAACCCCTCAGAGTTGAAGTACTCCTCTGGCTGCAGGAAGGCATGCTGTCATAGTGAAAGCTAGTTAAAGATAACCCGAGTAATCTTAATGACTGCTGTTGACACTGATAAGGTCGGTCTAATTGATTGATAAGACCTCCTCCACATGCTATCTGTCATTTCAGGTGTGACCTGTAAGTAATCCTTTTTTTTCCATCATGCATCAAGAATAGCACAATAATAATGAGAAATGAGATCTCTGTACTTTATTTTCCCAGTTAGTCAGTCACAGATCTTTCCTCGTAAAGCAGCCCTACCCAGAGATGTTTTCTAAAGGTTAGGCACATTTGGCTCCTTTTATTGATTCAAACTGCAGTCATTATTAAGTCGTAACTTTCTTCCATATTGTCAAAATGTCACAGTATTGTCAACAGAAGAAGACAAAGTCCTGGTAAATTACATTTCTTAATGAACTGGTAATACGTTTCAGTTGCATGTTGGGTGATCTGTCCGTGTTTGCTGCAACTACCGGTGTACATTTCTGAGGTTAGAGAAAAGGGAACTGAAGCCTCCTCCTCTCTGTTCACTCCCCCTGAGTTGGTTGGCTCCTTTTTAAAGGTTGAAGTCACTGCTGGTTGGTCAGTTCAGTAGGAGTTGAAGGGTTTAAAGGTTCAGTTGCTCATCTTAACAGGAGCACATTTTGGCTGTAAAGAAAGCACATGTTGTATATTCGACTATACATAATAAAAAACAACAACTATCCTGTTATTACGCTCACTGTGTCCTAACACGCAGACAGAGACAGTATTCATTAGGACTGTTGCAGGTCTTTGCAAGCAAATCTTAACTTATTCCTCTAGTCAAACCTACTGTACATTTGACTTCAGTGCTCATTTAAACACATTAGTAAGGCCAATTATTAAAAGCATATGAAGCTGCTGAAGGTCAGAGCTCCCAGGGGGGGGAAAGATAAAACTGATTGGACACAAGACGTTTGACTGGATGTGATATTCCTCTTAAGACTTCTGTAATCTTTGCTCTGTATAGTTATTCCTCTCTAGCCCTCCAGAATTGATTTTGTTTAAATTGAATTGACTCAGATGAAACCATCTGTGGAGCAAAGATTAGTCTTTTTTTTTTTTTAAGTTATGTTTTTGGCCTTTTTGTTGGCCTTGATTTTATAGAGACAGCTGTAGAGAGACAGGAGGAGAGAGACGGGACGACACGCAGCAAAGGGCCGCAGGTCGGACCCGAACCCGGGCCGCTGCAGCAGCTCCGTATATGGGTCGCCAGCTCCACCAACTGAGCTAACCGGGCGCCCAAAGATTCGTATTTTAATGTTGTTTGAACTATTCACAGCTCAGATATACTATACCTGTTACGAGGGGTCACGTGTACACAATGGTTTAATTTTAAGGGTCGCAAGTTAATTTGGCTTAGCAATATATCGATACTGGGGCGCCCGGTTCGCTCAGTGGGTAGAGCTGGCATCCCATGTACCGAGCCCGAGCCCCTGCTGCAGCGGCGCAGGGCTCGAATCCGACCTGTGGCCCTTTGCTGTGTGTCACCCCCCCCTTACTTTACTTTAAGCAATATAGCGATATCAGAATGATAATTTTTTAATTACCTATTTTTAATAAAGACCAAGTGGAAAAAAGGTTGAATTTAACCACTTTATTTATCAATTGTACTGCAGGTTGTTTCTTGATGTAACAGATGTAGGTTGTAATTGAAGACATACTCCAAAGGGTTGAAGTGGCTATGGTGATTCACTCATACCACGCTTCATTATCCAAGAATATGATAGGCTGTTTATGAGCCAGGGCCTGGTCATTATGTTTTGCATTTAAGTGAAATTATTGATATTCTATTGAACAATTTTCATATTGCTATTGATAAAGTGTCAATATAATAGATAGATAATGATATTGCTCTTGTTTTATCGCCTAGGCCCACATCCTAAACATTTTGGGAACCACAGCTCTAGATAAACCTGACACTTTTCTATTCTTAAAATTCAGGCTTTTCTGGCAGACAAAGCCAAATATGAGAGCTTACATAGAAATCAGCGTGTTTTGAAGCATGTTGTATACTGCTGGTGTGTGCAGCCTTTAACTTTCAACAGTTAGCTACAGAATTGTGTTCACTCACAGTCCGCTTGGCAAAAGAAATCAGCAATAATTAATTTATATTTCACTGTGGGTTTTGTGTTAAATTTCATATTAAAGGAACTTCAGTAACAGGTTCATAGAAATCCAGACTTTGTTTGGGAGATGTAATGTGTTGTTCACTGGGAAATTACTTCTTTTTTTTGTACAGAACATCAGTGCAATGCTTCTCAGATGCTGCCACAACCTGACTCGACTTGGCTGCCTCAACACTCAAAGGTACAACACTGTAACAAGACATTTGTCACACATATCGCTCCGGGGCATTTTATGTGCTGGCATTTACTTGGCTTGCCATTGACAGAGTAGTTAAGTTTTGTCTGGTCTCAGCTCCACCCAGTCAAAGGTCTCCGTTTAATGCAGAATACTAAAACAAACAACTCAAGCTGTGTTAATTAGTTTTTCCAAATGTTTGTGAACTATATGACCTGCATCGTAGTGTTCGTCCCTATTTTGTCTTTTGTTTCACACTTTGTGAATACACCAGAATTGGATACTTATTCTTAACACACAGGTTTACTTGAGACCTAATGAGCTCGACTTGACGTGCACAATAGTTACATTTGATTTTTTCTTTTTCTTTCACAGGCATCAAGTTGCACCTGCCGTGGCATTGTGTGCAGTTCGTCTCTGGAGCAGCAGTGAGGGTCAGAGATCGTACCAGCGCGCCCACGGCCCCAGCTGGAGACATGCTTTGGCAGGACTGCTGGCTGGTACAGGGGCTGTCCTGGCTTATGGCCTCCACCACCACAAGGTTAGGAGGAGATAAGATCCGTAAAGACAGTCAATGTTTAATTTGCTTTTATTGTGCCAAGGCTTAATTATGCCAGTTAAACATGTTTTCCAAGAAAACAGTATGAGGACAGGGCTTTGACTGTGACGCCTTTGCAGATGCATTTTCTGAAAACTCTGTTTCTTCAAGTATTGAACAGCTTAACGAAAATGTACAGCATATATCACAATCTTAAAGGACAATTCCGGTGCAAAATGAACAGGGCACACGGTAACAGCTCTTCTGTGCCCCGTTGGCTAGCGTTATAAGCTAATTAGTGGTTTGTGCTAAAACCGGTCACGGTCGATTAGCATGAAAACATATCCCAGAGAACGGACCAACTCGGTACACATGTGTTATTAACCCCAGGTTCATTTTGCGCCGGAATTGTCCTTTTAATTATAAAAGTATTTTTTATTTGGCTAATTTAAACAGTCTGATAACATTACAGAGAATTTGCAGTCTTCCCTCTCAGTCACACCCGTTTATGGTATTTTGCTGTTTACAGTGAGGGCAGTGACCTGTCTCATCTGTTGGTTCACAGCTGTTGGTTTGTCAGCTCATTTGTCAGTTTTCATTCCCACATTTTATGTGACTCAGTGGGCATAGAGCTGAGCAGAATACCATCATCTCTTCAGAGGAAAGTGAGAAGGAGAAATTCAAAGCACCTACTCCTCGAACTGCTGACTACAAATACAGAAATGTTTTAGCAGATTTTGTCTTTTTTTGTTGCACCTCTAAGTGATTAAATTAATTTCTTCAAGTCACTTGTACAGTCATTGTAAATTCTGGTTACAGATCCATCAAGCTTTCACGTTCTAAAATCACTATAATTATTTTAAAGTATCCCTATAATATTCCTCTGATCAATATTGTATTAAAACCTTGTGAGTAATCTGGAGCAGAGGTGTGTAAACACGGAGAACACACACACTGCCACTGCTGTCACAGCCAGTTTACCACCTTAAGACTAGCAGCCTTAGAGTGACAAATAATTACAGTGACAAAGTGATCTTTCTCTCTTTTGATGGATCATAACACTGATGTTTACTGTCTTCTTTCCGGTGCAGGCTGAGCAGGCAGACGCCATTAAAGTGCAGACCATAGAGAAGACCTCAGGTCTTCCTGTCTTCACCCAGGAGGAGGTCACCAGTCACCGCTCTCTGGAAGATGGCGTATGGGTCACTTACAGAGGTGCCGTCTATGACATCACTGACTTTGTGGCTATGCACCCTGGTGGGGATAAAATCTTGTTGGCGGCAGGTGGAGACCTCGAACCGTTTTGGGCGCTGTATGCTGTACACAACCAGGAACATGTGCTGGAAATCCTCTCAGAATATAAGGTTTGTGGCTGGCTGTAAAGTTCGTGTTTAAACAGGACACACAATGTTATCCTAAAACCATAAATAAGATAAAAAAATAAAATGTTCAAGTACTTAATAGGTACATTTTTGTTCCTTGTGTCTTGTACTGACACAGGAAAAAAAAGATTTACTATGAAACCAGTGAACTGTAAGTGGAATATTAACAATGGAGTACCTCGGAAAAAAATGGTTTTCAGCAGATTTTCACTGGGTGGAACAAGTTCCATCAAACAGCGTTAAACACAAATCTAAGAATTGGCAGCGAGCATCAAACACTGTAGCCAATGTTTGTGATCCTTTGTGTACACATTAGAGTTACACCTCTGGCTGGAACAAACAGGAATAATAGAGTAGAAAACCTCCAAACCTATTTTGAAGAGAAAAAAAAAAGTCAAGACTGTTAAATGATAGCCCAGTCCGTCAGAGTTTCTGGTTCAGCTTTAACCTGCTGTACCGTCTGTAGTTTTGCCCACGCTGCTCATTTATTGCCCCGTTGGACTTGTCAACAATGTCGCTATGATCAGCGATCTCAGCAGTTGCGTTGGTGAGTACAGGTTTTACATAACTGATAAATCCTGAAGCTGAAGCTACAAAAATAAAAGCTAAGTCACAATAAACCGTAATTTGTGCATTAGCTTGGTTGCAGTGTAATTCAGTCACAGTACACGTTATGTGACTGTTGTGACTGTGACAGTTACCAAACCATTAAAACTGTCTGGTGTGTGAAATAGAGACAGAAATAGAAACATGAACTTGTGATTCATTTTGTCCTGCACTTGATCAGGTCTACTGCATACTGTATACTAATGGAAAAACTGCTGTTGGCTGAGTACTGGCACTCCCTCAAGTGGCCAATGAGAAGAATGTTTTGCTGGCGTTTTTTTCTGGTGGTGTTTCCTCTAAACAAACACAGTTCTTTGTCCTTTTTTTTGCCTTTTGATGTGCATTTTATGCCGTTTGAGATGAAGTTCAGCTGAAAAAATATGTGATAGCTCGTGGCATTGAGTTAGTCCCATGCAGTCTAATAAAACCTTTGTGTCTGTGGTTAATACAAGGTTGGCGTGCTGAGTGCTGAAGACCTGAAGAAGCAGCAGACTGTTAAATCATCTGACCCCTACTCTTCTGACCCGAAGCGTCACCCTGTCCTGCGCATCAACAGCCAAAAGCCCTTTAATGCCGAGCCGCCTCCTGAACTCCTCACCGACAGCTACATCACCCCGTCTGCCATCTTCTTCAAAAGAAACCACCTGCCAGTTCCTCAGGTGGACCCGGCTTCTTATCGGCTGCACGTGGAGGGACTACCTGGAGGAGTGCTGACACTGTCTTTAGAAGAGTTGAAGACTCGATTCCCCAAACACACCATCACTGCCACGTTGCAGTGTGCCGGTAACCGGCGCTCTGAGATGAATCAGGTCAAGCAGGTGAAAGGACTGAACTGGGGCATCGCTGCGATCAGTAACGCCACGTGGAGCGGCGCAAGGCTCAGGGATGTGCTGCTGGCTGCTGGTTATGGGCCAGATGTGGCCAAGTGGGCTTGTCATGTTCAGTTTGAAGGATTGGACAAAGACGTGACCGGGACTACCTACGGTTCTTCCATCCCTCTAAACAAGGCAGTTAATGAGGAAGGTGATGTGCTGCTGGCTTATGAAATGAATGGTGAGGATCTCCCTGCCGACCACGGCTACCCTGTCCGCGTATTGGTCCCAGGAACAGTGGGAGCACGCAATGTCAAATGGCTGGGGAAGATCATAGTGAGTGCGGAGGAGAGCAACAGCCACTGGCAGCAGAACGACTACAAGGGCTTCTCTCCTGGGACGGACTGGGACACAGTGGACTTCAAGTCTGCTCCGGCCATCCAAGAGCTGCCCATTCAGTCAGCGATCACCACACCGGCGGACGGTGCTGTGGTCAATCGTAGCGGTGAAGAGGTGACTGTGAAGGGTTACGCCTGGAGTGGCGGGGGCAGAGAGGTGGTACGTGTAGATGTTTCGCTGGACGGAGGAAAGACGTGGCAGGTGGCCCAGCTGAGGAGCACCGAGAAGGAACAGGCACCCAAACCGTCGCCTCCACCGGGACGAGCCTGGGCCTGGAAGCTGTGGGAGCTAACGGCTCCTCTTCCTCCAGAGGCTCAGGAGCTGGAGATAGTTTGCAAGGCCGTTGACAACAGTTACAACATGCAGCCTGACACAGTTCCTCCCATCTGGAACCTCAGGGGCGTGCTGAGTAACGCCTGGCACAGAGTGAAGGTGAACATCCGAGAAGATGAGAGCGAGGAATAGACTTAGTGGTTTGATCCACTTTCAGAATCAAAAAGGTTCGCGGCTGAAACGGAGTCATCAGAGAGTGGACATTGTTTTAAACCTGCCACTCGGTGGCAAAAGTGAATAGTTTCATAAAGACGTAGCACAACATTTTGAAGTATAAGAACAAATATAGCAGCATTTTTGTTAAATGCACAGCCTTGAAGTATTTATGCAAACATGTTGTCTGTGAGATTTGAAAGATTTTCAGCGCTACATACCTAGAAAGCCTTCAAAGTTAAAGGCTGTAAATAACCAAATCAAAACATGTCCAGTTTCACTTTGACTTTAGACTTGAACATATGAGTCAGTTAGTTATTTGTCAGTTGTTCCCATACAGATACCAGTACTGGAAATTCCTCCAGTTCTGCCTAAAATGCAGTATCCGGTATCGGCGATTACATGCACCCATCCGATACCACATCATTTTCCCTGCCCTTCCCGGCAATGTCCCCTTTCCCATTTTTTCCCCAAGACAGTGAAGTCATAACCTGCCCTACTCTGACTCTGACAAAGGGTTTAACCGGAGCCAGGCCATACAACAATGATAGCAATCACACAGGCTTAGTAGTATACACTTGTTAATAAATAATAATATATATATATATATATACACCGTATATCTATTTTTTAACGCACATGTATTGGATCGGTACTCTGTGTCGGCCCATACCAAAGTTCAGGTATCACAATCGGCATCAGGAAGGAAGAAATGGTATCAAAACATCTCTAATTCTGTAGAGAATTTATTTTTATAATTAGTGTTGACGTTATCAATTCTGGATATGCACAGTATATGAAAAGGCTTGAATAACTTAACCTGCATCATAATTTAAAATACTAATTTAAAATAATATTATGAAATCTAATTGAAATGTAGAGGAGTACGAAATGAGGGCTACTAGAGTTGCATGAAGTGTTCAGTTTAGAGAGAACAACTGAAGTTTACCAAGACTGGAATCAACTTCCAAGTGTTGAAACATTGGGAGCTTTTGTTCATCTGCAGCTTTGGCTTTGCTGATTGATAACCTTTGTGTGGGAGAAAATAATAAGATAACATTTTGTGGGAGAAGTTTGAGCTTAAAGGAACAGGACCAGGAGCAGCTGTCAGTGTCTTAAATCATCAATGCTTGTTTTTAGTCTGCAAATCAGTGGTGAACTGTGACCCTTTAGTTTGTGGACGGGTCCCCCACTCTTTCAAAGTTGGTAAGAAGTACCACCTCACTGTGGAGATATGGCTTACGTTGGTTGAGTTTATGCCACAACACTACAGCACAGTACAGAGGTCTTGAACACAGTTTTGACCCAATGTGAGCGTCTCTGTGCTCCAGCTTATAGGTGAGTGTGAGGAGGATTTAGACAAAGATGATAAGAGTTGAGCGTTCCTCCTTACAAGGAGAGAGAGGAGTAGTAAATCATCTGCATAAACCTTAAACCTTGATCTTCCCTCTTTTGAACTTTTAGTTTGAACTGGATTGACTGCACAGCTTCTCTGAGAGAAATGCTGCTTCAGGATCATGGAAATATTCACTCATATTAATGTTGTCATATTGACAGTTGAATCTGTCCACGCTGTGAATTCCTGTCATGCAGCTCTGTGATCAGTTCTTGGATTACACTATGTTTTGTGTAAAATGTACATTATTGTTGGAAATGATGAATAAAGAGATCTAATTTTACACCAATGTACTTCTGCTGATTCAATTCCTGCTTTGTGCTAAAACTGCTACTTTTATTTAGTAAATGTGGTGACAGAGGAGACGGGATATAAAGTGACTCAGACAGCATCCCGAAAAAGATGTTGCAGCTGGGAAGAAGAAGAAGAAAAAGAAGAAGAAGAAGAAGAAAGATGTGGTGTCATCATACGACCAATGTTTGCTGATATAATATAATACAATAGAAATGTTGATCCTCCTCTAAGTCACACTCCATTAACCCGTGTGATTTCTTAATAAACCTATTTGAACTGGGAGTCATGATGTTGTCATGCTGACGAGTGGCCTGAGCTTTTGCCCTCAGTAGGATTAAACGCAATAGATGTTCTCCTGTTAAGTCTTCTGACGTAGAAACTTGTTTATGTAATAAAACCAGATATATTGCAGGAGTTTATGTGCATGATAACATGCTGTGGGACTCATTTGTTTATTAATATCTGGGGGCTACTGACCAAGCGGGGAAGTGGTTTGGCAAACGTGTTTGTTACAAAATTTCCATTCTGATCTGTCCCTGAGTCATAAATGACTGACACTGTGGTAAGCACAATTGCGTCGAACAGATGAAAACCCCTCATGTTTTATGGTTTTCTGCAGTTGACCTAGTCTGTGAGAACGAATGTGTTCTGTAATGTTCTGCAGTGGAGTGTAACCATACACTGTCTCGTGGCATGATCTCCAAAATGGCCCATACTGTACTCCCACGTCTGGGTTGGTCGCTCTTTCTGTTCCTTCATTTCATAACAATGACATGGACAGTATATAGGAAGCAGAGGAACTGACTGTTTTACTCCTCTTTAGGTCAGCAAATACAGACCTTTTGTCACGTTGGCGGTAAACGCAAACCAGTGCACAAAACCTTGGTTTAATTTCTCTGTGTGTGAAGTTGTGATAGAGTGAGGAATGTGAAGCATGTGCACTGGTTGAATATACCTGTGAGAGGACGTTGTGTGAAAATTATCAAAGGAATATACAAGAAAAAAACTGACCTATGAATAATTCTTAGCTCAATTAATAATTCTAATTAATGAATTATTAATAAGCCTAATTTGCAAATATATCCTGGAGCATGTTAACATTTACTGTCGCTAGGATAGGATCTCTACAGCCCATCAGACACTGTTGGTGGACAAAGACAAACGTTACTGTTAGTGTGCTGTCTCAGGTTTAGGTCTGTAAGTCTGTATGTTGCCAACCATCCACCATGCATTGCACTCACATCTTGACACCAGCTGTTTTGTCGGCTAATGCTGCTGTAACATTTATACCAGTTCCATTCACAGCAGTCTACTGTGGTCCTCTCCCAGATTTGTTAAAACACTGTACAAATGTCCCAATAATGTCTTCACAGTGTGATCATTTAATAGAATAATATCTACCCTTTGTCATTAGTATGAATTCTGTTGACAAAGTTGGTATAAAATGTACACAACTGCAAACTACAGTAGTCAAATATATCAAAACACAGCTGCTGTGCTCAGATGACCCAAAACAAGGAGGAATTAGATTTGGCTGACGAGGCGATAATACAAATAGTAACTGAAGTTGCTGGTGACGATACTGTCACCAGAAACCAACATCAGTTCAACTCCCTAGTCACCCACACATTGACATTTTCTGCTTCCTTCCTCTTTATTATTATGATCTAAAAGCAAAATAATATATAATATACAAACACCCAAATTAAAAAGCATGGACCCACAAGCATTATTGTTAAGACATCATAGACTTTAAAAAGATTAATCAGTGCGCGTAAGTGCTTTGCACGTTCAGGCACACTGAATTAATCTTCCTCATCTTTTTATTCTTCTTCTGTATGTTTTTCAGCATGTATCTAGTCCTGCAGCTTTGCCAGCACATACACAAAAAATACATAAAAACATGCAGCTTGATCAGGAATAGTGTGCTATGACTTTTCTCATGGATACCTTTAATCATTTTGTCAGATTTTCCCCCATTCATTCCTTATGGCAGTTTTTCATGAATTTTCAACTCTTACTTACTCATTCATACATTCACATAGAAACTCCAACTTTAAAATGTTCATGACAAGTAGGACTTTCTGCCATTAATTCAGCTTTTTAATATCTTTAATACTTTTCACACAATCTAAGTTTAAAATTAATGAAAATTTCAGTCCTTCTGAGACTTTTCCATTAGTGTGTCACAGTGAAGAGAGGCTGTAAAATCATATGAAAATCTTGTCTTCAACTTGCTCTCACAGCAACAATTGTCACTACACATACATAATTTGTACATCAAAATGTAGGAATGCTTGTGTCGGTCACAGACGTGTAACTGTGGAAGCAAACAGACTTACACTTTTGTCTTTATGAGCTTCCAAGCGACAGGAGCACCAACCAACTGCTGCATTAACTTCCATATTAAAAGAGCAGAAGCAGCCACTTCTTCCAACAGCTCGGTCACATTTCTGACTCTACACACACAAATATCACCAAATGTGCTCAGCAGGCTCTTATCTTGCTGACAAAATCCCCATTTCGGTGATAGGAGTTACGGTCTGGGTGCTACAAGCATAATCATGAGAGGTGTGCCTCAGCTAAAAAATGTCTTGACCCAGGAGACATTGTAGGTACCATCACCATGGCAACCCTTAATTGCAGTTGGGAGTACACAGCTGATTGAGATGACCCCATTAACACAGTGTGATACAGCTTGCTTTAAAATAAATTTAAATCTTCTCTCTATAACGCACCAAGCATTCAGGCACACATAGTCTAGTTTTATATAAAACTGTAGCTTGTATACAATCATTTATGAATCATTACATGCCAGAATCAAACCAACCAATCAATGCGACCATATCAATTATATTTCCATTTATGAATCATGAATTTGACTTTAAGTTCGAGTTACAGCCATCGCAAGTTATAAAGTTGTTTACGGCTAATCCTAACATTGTAAGCAAACAATAATGTTAGTTACACAGCCAACAGAGCAACATTATCTTCTGATAAATTTAAGTCCCATTTTCACTCACTTATGGTCTCCATCAACTCAGTCCTGAAAATGGGCCGTTTTGTTGCTGGACACAACTGCAGGCTTCAGCTGCTGGAAGGAGTGCTGTAAAACCAAAACAGTGAGCTAAAAGAGGATAGAAAGCTCTGTATGGCTGCGGAGTTGTGTCATGGTTCTCTGTTGGGTCCATGAGAGCAACTCTACAATGTTAGTTTTACATCATTCCTTCAGTTCAGTTGGATATTTTATTATCCCAGATGGGAAACTTGATTCCTATTGCACTTCAACCTTGACTAAAAATTACAAATCTACGGCCCGAGGGAAGAGGTTCAAACTCAAGGTGAAGGGGGTGGTTTGTACTGTCCAATATGGACCTGGCCTTGTGGAGAACCTGCTGGTGAAAGAAAGCCATCAGGGGGGTTTGTGGGACACCTATCACCTTCCCAGCAACCTTTACAATGTGGTTCAGGTGGTTTTCATCCTTTCCCTTCTTACAAACTGCATCAGAATTTACTTCAAGTTACTATCACTGATTGTTGCAAGATATTTATACTGCTGGATAAATTCAATGCTCTCTCTCTCTCTCTCTCTCTCTCTCTCTCTCTCTCTCTCTACCCCAACTGGTCGAGACAGACGACCACCCACCTAGAGCCGGAGGATCTGTCCTAGGTTTCTGCCTTTTAACAGGCAGTTTTTCCTTGCCCTTGTCGCCAAGTGCTTGCTCATGGTGGTACTGTTGGGTCTCTGTAATTAATGTTAAAGAGTTCGGTCTAGACCTGCTCTATTTGAAAAGTGTCCTGAGATAACTTCTGTTATGAATTGGCGCTATACAAATAAAATTGAATTGAATTGAATTGAATTGAATGCCAGTTCCGTTTATGAAGGTCTGAGATGGTGGGTGGGATGATTTCCATCTGAAATCAATGACCAGGAAGATATCGTCCCACCATTATTATTATTCCACACAGTGATTTGACTGATGAAATATTGATGAATGCAGATTTAATAATGAATATTATACTTAGGTTTTTTTTCATGAATAAATTATATTAAATATTAATAATAATATTTAATATGTTTTACTTGGAAATAAACAAAAAAAATCAGAAAACATTAATTTGATTTTATTGCTGTCTAGAGTTAGTCTATTGAGACACCCGTCAGTAAATGTGATATCACAAACCTGTGTTTTGCATTTTGATTACAACAGATCACAAAAAAATATATAGTTATTGTTGACAGCATGCAGTAGCATAGCAACCTGCCGTATATATCTGGTCTATCATTTATCTGTCAGCACAGATGGGTCCAATAACAGATCAGTTGTGTTTGAGAAGTAAACATAAATATTTGTCTCAGGTGTGGGGGTGAAAGGAATGTGGAGATGGAGGGCAAAGACACAGTCTGTGGTTTAGACTCATAATTGAACCGTGATACATGGACACATAGTACTGTTCTAACAACAGGGAAGCAAAAAGCCATTGACCCTGAAGCAATAACATGGGACAGTTATAGTGATAGTTTTGTTCAGGGTGAACTACCTCTGTGTTAAACAGTAGCCGGACCCTATAAATGTGTGTGAGTGTGAAGACCACTTCTTCACATCCTCTCTGAACAGCTGTACAATTTACCAGCAGACATTTTGGCTTGAGGTCAACTGGCTGCTCTTGTAATCCTCATTCTTCAGAGATGGATCATCGTAGCCACAGGGCTGACTCATGCGCCGCGCTGTGTTAAAAACTGTTGGAGCTCTCAGAGAACAAACAGAGTCTGCTGTGGGACTCGGCCGAGCACTTCTCAGCCTCTGAGCCTTGGCGCTTGACATCTGGGACGGAAACTCTTGATGAAAACTTGAATATGGACTACACAGGGCTGCTGCTGAGCCTACTGCTGCTCAACCTCAGTGGAGCATTTTGTGCTGTGGTGCAATGGACAGAGTTAAATGAAGCAAAGGTAAGACGATAGTTTGCTTTGTAATTTGTTTAAACGTGCATTCACAAGATGCTTATCTCAACAGTGAGTGTATGAGAGCTTTATAGTCGTCCTCTGCATTCACAGGCCTATTTGAGGCAGTATGGCTACTTGAATGACCCCGCTGATCCACAAGACCCTCATTACCTGGAGGAGATCATTGAAGCTCTCAGGTAAAACAGACGAGTGGAAACCCAGGTTGCTACTGACAGTGTGTTAATGCCATAGCATATGTTAGATCTATACGAGGGTCTGCTGGAACATAAATACAGTGGAGGAGGACGTGAGCAGCCCTCCTTGTATTTTCAAATCAGTTTGCAGATGTTTGTCTTGTCTCCAGGGTTTTCCAGACGGTCAATGATCTGCCACCTACTGGAGAATTAGATGAAGCTACTATGAATGTGATGAGACAGCCTCGCTGTGGCTTGGAGGACTCCTTCAACAAGAAATTTCATAAATACAGAGTGATGGGTGAGTCAAGAGACAATCTTTAGTTTCTCTTCTCACAAAACTGTCAGCAAGTATTTTATTTGCATTCGTGCATACGCTTTGAGGCTTGTTATAGATCTGTTAACGTCTTTAACAGCACATGTCCTGCAGTGTGAATGTTAAAAGAGTTTGTAGCTGTGAGTTTGAGGGTGAGATGTCACAAATTGGTAATGTCTGGAACAATGTCTGGACCTTTAAAGCTTTGTAGAAATTGTTGGATCTCTGAAGGCAGAAACTTTTATCTGCTCGATTTTAACCCGTATTAGACAGACTGCTGAAATGTTCCACTCTGGAAAATGTAAATACTGGTGATTAAATAAAAGCACTTGAGCACTGAAGTCAACTCAAGTAGCAGTATGAAGTGCCTTATTTAAAGTATATTTACAGAACATCAATAGATATGATCATTTACGATGTGACAATAAAAACAAAACAACTAGAAAACTAGGTACTACAAAATAAAATACAAATGTTTTCAAAAACCAGATATGAGACTTTTAGTGAGGCAGACAGTTTATTGTTTTTTTTATTGAAAAAAAGGATTCTTCTACTGCAGGTCGTTGGAGAAAGAGGAGTCTGACCTACCACATCTACAACTACACACCGGACATGAAGAAGACAGATGTCACGAGGGCCATAACCTCGGCCTTCAAGTACTGGAGTGATGTGACTGCTTTGACCTTCAGAGAGGTCCACTATGGCAGAGCAGACATAAGGATCTCCTTCCATAAGAGAGATGGCTACTGCCCTGTCCCATTTGATGGCCGTGGTTAGTCCCTCTCCACTCGAAAATCACTTGTTCTTCTTGACTTTGACAAACTTTATAAATATATTCTTTCACTGTGAATTATTAACTACTATTAGTCTCAGTGTCCTCTGAAACACTAACTCATACTGTTTATTTGTACCATCTGCAGGTCATGTACTGGCTCATGCTGAGTCACCAGAATCTGGTATTGTCCATTTTGATGAGGATGAGTTCTGGACTGAGGGATCATATTATGGTACTAATCTGCGTATTGTAGCTGCCCATGAAATTGGCCACGCTCTCGGCCTGGGTCACTCTCAGTTCAAAAGCGCTCTGATGGCGCCTGTCTACTCTGGTTACCGTGCCAACTTCAGGCTGCATTCAGATGACATCAGAGGCATTCAGGCGCTATACGGTGAGTACGTTTGAGGAGGACCAGACTGGATCAGAGCGGTCAATTTGATATTGACTGTGAATTTGCATAAATAAGTACCTGTGACTCCTAAACTGACATTCATGTGGTCTCTTCATTCAACTGATACAGTAATATAATATGTACAGTATATAATATACAGACATATTGTGAGGCTCTTAATAAGACTTATATGAGGAGTTATAATGGTCCTTGTGGTTTGTAAATTAGAACCTGACAGATAAATCTTTATTCACACACACCATCAATGATACCATTAAATAGTTTTTTTGTAATTATAAAACATACTCTTTCCACTATGTGCTTTAAGCGACCAACATATATTATTATTCTGTATTATTAATTGCTAACAATGATGCTGTGCTGTTTGTTTACTCATTTTCTAATAAGGTATAAATAGGTAGGATGTTTATCGATATGTCTGCTGATCAACAAGACTTGTTTTAATACATATTTAATATATATAGGTTCTATACCTAGAGTTCATTATCTGATAGCTGACTTTCCTTTATTAGAGGTCTGAAGCACCCTAATTATTATGTAACGTACATGATTGTTCAACACTCTTGGATCCACAAGGTGTCTCTTGTTTGCATAAAAAGGTTCAGGTAGTTTTCAAATGTCAAAAATGAGTCCAACATTCATCCTGAAACTCTGTTTACAGGCAAACGCATTACCAGCACTTTAGCCAGTCCAACAACCGCAGACAGTCTGTTTCCCACAGCAAGCAGCCATGATACTGAGAGCATCCCTGACCCCTGCACTGCCACACTGGACGCCATCATGTTGGGTAAGTTATAGATTAACTGTTGTGAGAGTGATGACAGGACAAGCCCCATCTGTGTGCATTGACACAATACTGAATATTGTATTTGATAAATTTGCAGTGTAAATTAGCAGCGATTGAGCTACAATAAGGATCTGAAAATTTTGTCTTTTGACATGTAAGTTTCAAAACAACAGTGAAGCTCTAAATATGCCAAATGCCTGTTTTTGACAACCTGAGAACGAGACTCAACAACCTCAACAACTCAACTATCTTTCTTTGATAATCTTTCTTTGAACTCTGATTGGTTGTTTCTGTTTTAGACGCGGTGTATTCTTGCAAAATTATTGATTATCTGTCTCATGTACTTTTGTCAGGATATAGAGAAAGTTTCAGCAAATATGACAATAAGTTATTTAAAAAGTGACTTACTGCACCTTTAATGACAGGTTTACATTATTTTGTCCTTCTGTATGTGGGAGGGGAAGGTGATTATGTTAAACCTTTTGAATGGGCATCAACATATCAATATTTGCTTTGTTTTTTTTAGGACACAAAACGTGTGACACATAGTTTAGTATCTCACTGTATGTTCAATCAGGTCCATGGAGGAAAACCTTTGCTTTCAGTGGTGATTACGTGTGGACCATCTCTGATCTGGGACACAACACGCCACTGAAGATTGACAGGCTGTGGAGGGAACTCCCTGGAAACCTGAACGCTGCTGTACACTCTCAAAGAACCAACAAGACATACTTTTTTAAAGGTACAGTTATTGTCCAATACTTGTGTCATGTGTATTTATACCTTCTGCTCTTCAGTGAGTCTTGAACTTGAAAATGTTTGTACTGTTTCAGGCAATAAAGTGTGGAAGTATACCAACTTCGTGCTGGACTACGGCTACCCCAAACAGGTCAAACGGATCCCTCCTAATATCGATGCCGCCTTGTACCTGGAGAAGAACAAGAAGCTGGTCTTCATCAAGGTATCTATTATCAAAACATGAGGACCAGCAGCTTTGATCATGGCCACATTTGCAGACATCCTCCGTTCTTACCTCTTATCTCTTTGTAGGGTTCAGAGCACTGGCAGTGGGATGAGCTGAAGTACACCGACTTAACTCTCTATCCCAAACCGCTGTCTATGCTCTTCAGCGGAGTACCATCCAGTCCAGATGCAGCCTTCACCTGGACCAACGGCAAGATCTTCTTCTTTAAGGGCGACGACTACTGGCGTGTGAATGAGATACTGAGAGTGGACAGAGGATACCCGCTGAGCAAGAAGGAGCGCTGGATGCGATGCTAGGGGTCGACCATCAGGGGGCAGCAGGTACCAAGAGGTCTACAGCAGGGGTGCTGGTTCCACTCCGGGGGCATTGACAACCAGGCAACCTCAACAGCAGTGATTGTGATCGTCTATCATCTACCACGTTGAAAAAAAACCTAGTGTGGGAATTGATATTACTTTACTGGATCTGATTTAGCCAAGCTACTCCTGCCCGCCGCAGCAGGCAAAATTTTTGTGAGGCTTAGTTCTTGAGCACAAACGTGTGTTTTTGTGACTGCGAGAATTATGTAAGCATTTGTATGATCTCAGGGAGAAATCAAGGGAGGCCTTCTGTTTTTCTCTCTAACATATGTGTTGGATTATGTGTCTTAATAGTTGCAGCAAGATGTAATATGATGAAGGGAGTGTGCACTTTCTGTTCAGACATTTTGTTTAGCCAGTCATCTTTTCATGTATGTTTAACCAGTGGTCTTTTCTTTAATGTTACTAAACATGTCAATTATGTAATGAACCACACTTGTCTGTGAGAAATAATGTAACATCTGTGTCCTGATTCTCTTATGTGGAAATGTAGCATTTTCTACAATTAAAGAAGACATGATTTTGCCAGTAAAATTGCCTGATTTCAATTCCCTGTCACCAGAGAAATGGCTCACCATTCCCACAGAGGATAGAAAAATATTTAATGTTCACTATGATGAAAGGCCAGTCTGTCCTGCTTTGTGTTGTCTGCAAAAAAAAAAAAAACTTTAGAGGCGCCATGGCAACCTCGACCAGTTGCAGAGTAGGAAATCCTCCCCATGACCTCTTTCTTGCCTATGAAAAATCTGGTGAGTAATGCTGCCAGTGTTGCTAAGAGCCTAAAGAGACAAACAATGCAATGTATCTGACTCTGACTCAACCAATGAGCAAAAACTTGTTTTTGTATCAAACACATTTATTTATCTTTGAAATTTCTATCAACAGGTATGTACAGATTCAGGTAACAAGTGCATTGTCCCTGCAAAATTCAAACAAGAAAAATGAGAATTATTTAAAAATCTACAAATTAACAACAAACATGCTTTGTTTTTTGTCCTTTTTCCCCCCAACACTACCACATAGTTGTTCATTATATAAATTAAATTATAAAAAGTTTACTCCACAAACATACAACAGTCTATATTCTTCACCTACTGTGTTCTGTCAGGAGCTACACTGAAAAGATCCTGCTAAAAAAAGCTCCTGCAAAGAGCTTTTAAATACAAACTGCAGTTTATTTGCATCATTTAGTTTTTGCTTCACTTATTCATACTCCATGTATCCAACTACATGTCATATCTTAACTCTCTCACCACACTCCATCTAAATAAAAATACACAAAAATGAAAGTCATTTTAATGAGAAACTTTCACAAATCCTACGACCACACAGTTAAACAGTAAGACAGGTAATAACACAACACTTCATGGCAATGACTAACTTTTTAAGTACAGTACATGTAATGTCAAACAAATTGCTTTGTCGTGTTCACTACCAAAACAGAAAAATATCTGTTTTTTTTAGGCTCGTACTTGCTGTTTATGTATTTAATACACGATGAGAGGAAACTGAGGACCTTATTTTGTTAGTATCAGGTTTTAAGTGTTTCTCTGAGAAACACAGTGGTTGCAGTGGTTATAGCTTGACACCTCTTTTTTCTCCCCAAAAAGCAGCATTCTCCTTCTCTGAACACCCAGTACTGACACACTCATAGGAAGAAATCCATCCTCGCTCCGAATCGATGTAAGGGCAAAGAAAACCCTTAGCTGAGGGGAGCAGGTTATTGGTTCTAGTCTACATTAAGAAGACACAGTTGGAGAACTAAAGAGGACTAAGAAGTCCCTTCTTGTCTCCGTTTTGCTCAGACCCTGACGACTGGGGTTGTAGCTGTAAGGGGCGCGGTGGACCCGGTGTCATAGTCCAAGTCAATCATGGTGTGGTTGGCCGTGCCCAGGCTGCTAAGGGAAGTGCCTGTGCCCATCTGTCTGTCCCGCAGACTTTGCAGGTAGCTCTGAGAAGAACAACACAGGGAGAGATGAGTGAGGTAAAAAAAATGGTGGGTTTAACTTCACAATGATTTTTATGGCATCAGTATCTACAGCACACGCCCTGTTGGGTGACACTGACCGGTGCCAGTAGATCCCCAGCGTAACGTTTCACTGGGGTGGGTTTACGGCGGTACGTGCCTTCCTGCCCACCTGCCTGCTGTCGCTTCTTAGCGTCCTTCTCTCGAATCCGCATCAGCTGAACTCTCTTCTGTCTCCGACTGATAACGACTACAAGGAGAAAGGGGCATTAAAAGGCAGCTTGTTAACGTCACTTCATCATGAATCAAATTACAGTAATTCTGGACAGACAATGAGATACAGTAGAAATGCAGCATGTTTTGTTAAATCTTAAAACATCTGGACGCATATTAATCAAACTTTAAGAACATTTTGGACTTAAAATAAATAAAAATCCTTCACATTTACCCTTTTCATCAAAGTCTTCAATTTAAGAGAGCTCCACAGATGTGTTCTCCGATACCTTTACCTTTACCATTTCCTGCTTCAGTTTGGTTTTGTTTTAGATTGTTACATCTTACTTGCTATTGGAGATATTAAGGATTTCACTAAGCTATTAAAATTATTTTCAATCACATAAAGTTTTTGCAGAATAACATATCACTGAGAACTTTTCTAACAAGAATGAACAATGGGCCAGATAAATCTTTGTCTCTGATTGGCTGTTCCTGCTCTGACCATACTCACTGAGAGTCACCTTTAAATGTTACTCCTACATTTTGCTTTAAGAAGGAGTAAGTTGTTTGATAACTGTGAATATAACGTTTTCACTCTTCTGTCGGCTCTGACAGATGATTCTGAAGTTTAATTCTTACCCACCCCTACAACAGAACTTAGGTTGTCATGATATTTCCTCCTTACCCTCAGTGTGTGAGAAGCTGTCATCTGTCAGTTTCCACTGGACCAGTACTCCTATGAGGCTGAGAGCGGGCCAGATGCCCAGAATGACCCAGCTGTACCAGCAGAGAGGTGGCCCGGGTGTGAGGCGCAAGCATTCATACACATGCATGGCCAAAGCCAGCATTTCCACAAAGTAATCAGCACACACTGTCATAATAGCTGCCCCGAACACAGCCGTGGACAGCATGGTGAAGAGCTTTTGCCACTGCAGTGTCAGCACAGCAAACAGCATGCCTGTCCCCAGAAGTGTGCCCAGTGGGACCCAGACTGTGGTTGGAGTGTAGAACTGGTGAGTGACCAGCAAGGCGGCGAGAGCCAGGAGGAGACCCAGCAGCAGGCCGGTCATGAAGAGGCCGACACTCCGCACCAGCATAGTGACCAGACCGCACAGCAGGCCTATGCCGAGGCCGATACCCGCGCTGGCCTCAACGCTCAGCTGAGTGTCCAGCACATGTTCCTTGTGGCACAGCAAGAAGATGATGACAGAGCCAAACATCAGACCAGACAGAAACATGACGGCCTTGAAACAGCGGTAACCTAGAAGAGGAGAGACAATGTCAGATTTACACAAAGAAGCAGAAGATGCCTACTAGAACCAATCTGCAGAGGAAATCAGTATCATCAAGAGAAAGCACAGGTTTATCCAACTTAATTTGACATATTTAAAGATTGCACTGTGGAGGTAAGTTTACAGTTACATATGAAATCTTGATGGTGTGTTATATCATCCCAAAAAATCTCTTGCTTTAACCTCATGTCAAGGTTTGTGTGAGCCGGCAGAGATCCTCACCAAAGAAGCAGTAGATGATGCCAAACAGGCAACACATGGAGCAGATGACGGCAGGGATGACATCATACTTCCTCTCTATCTCCAAACTGCAAGCGTCAACGTCGGCCATGCCTGCCCCGGCCCCTTCAGAGCTCAGCCCAGTAGGATCCGCCATTCTGGGTGAATGTGGGAGACTGAAATTCGGGATGAGGGTAGAACTTGTGGTGGTGTTATCTCAAGTCCATCTGAACAGGTTTGGTGACTGCAAGAGAACAGAAAAATTATAGAGGAATTACGGACAAATAAAAAAAGTGTGTGGTTGAATCTTTATAAGGAAAAAATGAAATAGTTATATCCTGATAAATGGAGAAAACTCAAGTACTCCAGAGGTAAATGTGAAGTGTGAAATCTTCAGGTCAACTGTGACTTCTTCATAGCTGCTCTGTATGTGCAGCTGTCACAAACTCAACACACAAAGCTATGCAACTCAGTGCAACCCTGCATGCTTCGGGCATTCACACAAGCAGCTCATTCACTCACTATAATCCAGGACCCCCGTTGAGCTCTGCTCCCCCTGAATCATTAGGGTCATGAACTCACGAGTGGTCGGTCACCTGAGGAGAGTAAATGGCTTTACTTTATCAGTTTCTAACACTATTACAATAATCTAGTTTTAACTGTCCTTACACTGAAAGGAGAAAACAGTCAAGCACTGTATTCTCTTATAATTTGCTAACTTTGGTTTCATGTTAAATAAGCTGGTTTTATTTAAGTTTATTTTCATAACCTACTTGGCTGTGTCTGTTATGTGGGGATATGTGGTTCTCACCGGACAGCAACCAAGTACAGTCTAAACAAGTATATACCTTTTGATCTAATCGTATTCAAAATAAAGCTTGAAAACATTTTGTCTAGGACATTTACCGTCACCTACTTTGTCATTTCTGAGACGCGTACCAACTACCACTCTTGAAAACTGATAGATGGTATTTAGGCTGGCAGGCCCATAGAGAGCCACAGAGGGCTGCAGTGGGGCCAAAGACTTATGGGTGGACTACTCATTCTGAGGCTGCTGGCAGGCCTCTTGAATGATCTCACCACAACTGAGATCCGATTACAGCTAACTCACGTTTTCTACTTGAGACAAACAGCCAGGAACAGTCAGTCCTGCTTTTATTCTTTGCTCCTTGCCAGATCTTTCTCTCTCCGCCCCGTCTATCCGCCACCTCTCCTTCTTCACCTGGAACTTTCCCTAACTTAAATCTATTTTCTGAACACTGAAACGGGCCTGATTCGTTTCGCCTGTTTCTCAGACACACGGCTGTGTAATTTGTATGTCCTGCCTATGAATGACTTTACATGGAAAAAATGAGAGCCTGCTGGAAAGTTTTCTTTTCTTCTTTAGTCACTCGCCTTTCTTCAGTACCTATCTTCCTCTTCTGCTTTCCATCAGTGACAACTACCATGTGTCTTTCTTTTTTTTTGTTATTAGGAGAATTTAGGAGAAATACATCCAGTATTTGGCCAGTTTATGTCTGGAGACTACAGTCTGGTGTTGCTTTATGAGGATATGTGTAAATAGCTGATACTGAGATATGTACACTATTTATGTAAAATAGAGAGATATTGTGGGATCATTTAAAAGTACACACAGGGGTCTGGGCAGAAAGACGGCTCAGTGGTTAGCTCTGTCGCCTTAAAGCAAAGGGGGGTTTGAATGACGGCTGGCTCAGGGTTAAGACACTTAAGACAATTTCTAGCTTCCCCTGCCTGACAAGCAAGGACTCCAGCTCCATGTGACCCCTGAACAGGATAAGAGATTAGAAAATGGACTGAAAGAGGCAGGAACCTCATTGTTATGGGCTTTTGTTTTGCTCTTTGGTCTCGTTACTGTGGTCTGCCTCTGCATGTTGGTGTTGACTCAGTCATATGAGAAGACAAGTTTTTTTTTTTATGAAACAAACAATGCGGAACTGTTAAAAAATGAACCAACAAACTTCAGTAGACCAAGTTTCTGACATATAGTAAAAATTAAACTAAATGTGGTTGACTGCCTTTGGTTTGGCCCAGAGTATTTGACCCCAGTTGGCATCTGTTTAATGACATGAATGCAGCATGAGGCCACCTGGTTGGTTTGGTTATGAGACACCTGCACCAGCCAACTTCCTGTCATTTGTTTGCTTGTTGTGACTGACTCCACTCTAAAGCCTTTACCCTATTTACCTGCTCGGTGCTCTTTTTTTCTTGTATGAAATGTGAAACTTAAATGCCCCTTAAATATGAGTGACTAAGTTCATCATCTGCTACGTAGTTTTGATTCCTCAAACAAACTACATCGAGTACTTTTGAAGGAGACAACAGATCCGGTGAACGTTACAGGGTCTATACAGATAATTAACTAAACCCACACCACTTAAGCTAATTCTTCTGCAGCTTAATCTTTCAAAGAACAAAGGCAAAAAATGTATTTAATGTCTCTTGTAATTCGCATACAGCACGTCAAATTTGAATAGTTTTATACTAAATTCTGTGGGTAGATAAAGTACTGACACATCACATTACACAGTAACCTAATTACTGTAATTGGACACTGGCGACTTCCTCTGTTGCTTCTAATGGTCCAGGACTTTGAAAGAATGTTTTGTTGTCAGCTTATTGAATTTAGTAAAAACCATTAGGACAAATTATCAATGCTGATAGAAAATTATAAAATCTAGAGTCTTCCTTTCTACCACATATCATACTTGGTTAATGTTACATTTCATATTAAAACAACTTTTTGGGGGGTTTACCAATCACAATAGCACTATGAGTGTGAACTATTTAATATTTCAACACCATTTTAACTGTAATTGACTAAACACGCAGGCACATGTACACTCCCATATCTCTGCGTCTGCCTCATGTTACCCCTCTGTGAGTCACAATGGTGTCCTATGTCTAGCAGGCTTGGAAGTCCTTGCTGCTGTGGGAGAATAGAACCATTATAGGGCAAAACAAAGACTCTGAGGCCCATGCTGTGACCTCTAGTGGCACTCAGAGGAAACCATGCGGACGAAAAAGGAGACCACATAAAGATGGCTGAGAGCACCAAGGAAACTGGTAAATCCCAAGTATTTGCTTTCAGAGGGCTGTTGAGTGATTGAGGGAGGGGGTACTAACTAGAAACAGAACTATCTATCATAATGACTGAGCTCTCTGGAGGCCCCCAAAATCTCCCAAGCTTCCTAGCTGAATTTTTCTACGAGCTAAAATCACCTGGCAACTAATTCAATACATGTCAACAAGAGGAAAGACTCGCTGCGCCACGCTAGCAGCTCTGTGAGGCTAGATGCTAACGTCGTCATGCTCACAATGCTAACATGCTAATGTTTTGCAAGTAATATTTACCTGGTTCGCCGTCGAAGTTTAGCCTCTTAGCAGGCTAAAATCAGCTAAAAATTAAAATTTAAATAATAAATATTTGTAGCAAATTTCACAGCAATCCAAAAAGTTATCAACTCAAAATGTCAACCATTTTTACTTGCTTTTAGTGTATATACTTTTCATTTATAGTCTTCTATTTTCTATTATATTTTGTAATGTTCTTATGTTGTGATATCTTATTGTACTTCCGCTTCTGTACTCTTGCACTACATTCCCTTATGCTCCTACGTGGAGTCAGTAAAGGTACATCTTATCTTATCTTATGATGATGCTGGAGGAAAGGTCAGAGGATGACCAAAGTCAGCAGGATTCACGAACAAAATCAAATGGAAATCAATCCAACAGTTGTTGAGATACTTCAGTCTGGATGAGAGTGGTGGACTGTTTCATTTCCACCACCAATGACCATTAGAGGCTTGAAAACTCCTTTACCTGTGCTTGAACTGTAATAAAAGCTAAATAAAAGCACACATAATGGCCTCCAGAAGATTCATTCATTTACTTAAGAGGCTTGGAGCTATTGGAATATTACGTTGCCCTTGAAACAAAAAGCAGACTAGTAGACCAGAGTAGACTCTCCTGAACAAACAATGCAGGGGGCAGAGTAGCGCAGATTTGAGTGCTCAGCTGCTGTACAACAGGCAGGGTCGACTATAAGTTCCCCACATAGCTAATTTGGGTGTGTTTTATTAAGGGGTGGGCGTGTGTGATCACAGCCAAGGATTCTGCAAGTGCTCCTACGACTTGACGGCCAGGGCCAGCTGAGAAGCTGAAAACCTGCAGTGTTATGAGTTGGCTGTGTGACAACTTCACTTGGATGACTCTACCAAGAATGTGAGATGCACTGGGGTCGGTGTTCTGCAGTTGCATCCATAAATCATGCCACCTTCAGATGAACACCCTCAACCCGCTGAAAGACTGATTAAGTCCAGACAACATGCACCATGGGAATAACGCTAACTTTCACGGTGGGGGTTATTAAAATGAATGCCATATTGTGCTAAGCATAACACTGGATAAACATGCTCATCATCCCAATACCATCTGCTTTCAGTCTGGATAATGTTGAGCAAGACATCATATGGGTCACCATTGAGCTTCCTGTCCCCCCATAGCAGGAAGCTCAGGACCAGATGAGGAAGTGGAACATCAGGTTTCAGCAGGAACTGACCCTCGTGTTTGTGACACGGAGCAGAGACAGGAACAAAAAGCTGGATCATCAACACTGAAACATCTCTTCATCCCTACAACACCATTCCCTTGATTTCAATTAAGAATCAGGGGGTGGGAGACACGAGGAAGTGCAGTATCAAATCACAGACCCTGCACTTTTTGAATTTGATGTGTGATAAAACAACATTATAATGAAGTACTGTAGGGCTGCAGAGATGGCCAACAAGTGTTGTTCTTTTGTCTCTCCATTTGTAAGTGTGTAAAAAAAAATGTAAACTGTGATGCAAAAGGCTATTAGCTAGCTAGTTATTAACTGTCTGGCTAACAACTGATGTAGATTAGATTGCTAATTAGCTAGCATAAACAAGATTGTAATCTGTCTGGCTCGCAGGCTAATCTACATAACACTTGCTATTGTGTCACCAAGTATATTAACAACTTGCATAATGAACACAGCACCACGTGATAGATTACACATTTTTCCAGACTGAATGCTCAGATGTTTGGTAATTCTTATTTATATACGCTGTATCTGAGCTTCATGCGGCCATATTCACACAACTATATTGCACTGATCATGAATGTGCAAAAATGTACACTTATGTAGACTTTATATGGACAAATCAATACCTGCCAGTGGCACCAGTCACATTCCTCTCATTTTAATTTTGCAGAGAGCTTTAAATCCCATTCAGATCATTTAGTTTTTAATCCAGATTTATCATTTGCCACTCACTCTTACGTATAGCTGAAAAACTAAAAACAGACACAAATGAATAAATATAGCAATAAATATTGATCATTTTAATGTATATTTGGTACCTCAGCTTGAGTCCTAGCTTTAAAACCTCACCAGAGTGTGTGGGATACACATATCAACTGTATTTTAAAAGCTCTGTGGTGCTATGCATACATTGTTGATTATGTGACCCATGGGATAACTGCACAATACTCATATGAACATGTCATGTGTTTGCATGTGGCTTGATCGACTGTATCCCAGTGAGTACATCCTCGTTGCATTCAAAATTGTATTAACAGTTTTCTTATTTCATCACTAAAGTGCCACAACAGGACTTATTTTCCCCTGTGCAGATCTGAGATGTATTTTCCTTGTACGCTTCCTTCCCAGGGTGTCACATGGTGTTTCCTAGTAATCAGCGGCTCAACCCAAAGCCATCTCAATCAGACATTTACCAAAACATGGATTTTTAATGTGACTCTACAACAAGATATAACAACAAATGTGCACTATGTACACTGGATCTTTCTTGAACCAAAGAATCTGAATAAAAAATATGTTTCACTTCAGTCTTAATAATTCACATATTTGTGACCACAAAGTCTCCAAAATTGTGATTTTTATGCTAAACTTTTTTCCTCCCAAAGCTGATTGAATTCACTCAACCAACTTCATTTTGCACATAGCACAGTTGGAGTTCCCAGATTTTGGTCACTGCCCAGAGTTATAAAAATTCCCATCATTTTGCAATATTTGGTTGCACTCAATAGCTTTTTTTGTATAGAGACACAATTGGCAGCTGTTCCAGTGACAATATGTCAGTCATAATCTCACTGGCAGATTTAGGACTTCAACTGAAGTCTCCTATGTCCGAATAAAGTCTTAATAAAAACAATAAATCAAGTTTATAATTCTCAATGCCAAATCATTTGACCTCTGGCCATGGGACCCAATAATGCGCACAATATTTTATTAGTGGTATCCAACTTCTTTTTCCCTCATAATCTCTCAAACTCATGCCAGCCTGACTTGCGACTAAACAATAGAAGCCTTTCAACTTAAGACTGCAGAGAGCTACTTATAGAGAGGCATGAAAAAAGATCAGAAACATAATGAGGAGCCTTTTGAAGAGAGTCACATGTCAGTGGTGCATGCATGTATACTGTAAATCAGAAATGCACATGGTCATTAACATGGTCAAATCCATGGTAAGAACTGAAATCCATGCAGTTAACTCTCTGTACTGTAGTAAGTTGGGATTGTGATCCAGCGGCAGAGGAAGGAGTGCACAGTGTGAGAAGCAAGGAGGGGCAGTTCCACAACGCTCTATTAGGGTTTGTGGTGGAGCAGCATTTAGTAGGCGGGGTGGTGGAGTCTGATGTCCATATGTTGGTGAGAGCATGACAGTAAGGCACTGTGTATGAGATAATATATGCTGATGATGAACACTAGGTTGGCGTAAAGAACCTAATTGCAACCACCCATCATGCAGAGCATCCCCGAGCAAGACGCCAACGCAAGTTCCAGGGGTGTTCTGTCCTCCGTATGAAGTCGAGCTGGGGGGAAATTTCAACTTCAACTAGAGTGTGATGATATTATTATAGCATACATAAAAACTTATCATACTAGGGTACAAGAAACACAGTTGCTTAGGCAGACTGCCAAAGTAAAATTGAATAGACCACTGATTGAATTGTGATAATTTGTAGATAGGTTTGCTATTGGCAGAAGAGGAGTCACTACACAGTAGTGGTTCAGACCTCCCTGCAGTGCCTATATATGTCTGCAGCTCTATCATTTACAACCGACATTTAACCCATTTTGTCAAATTCCAGTCAACAATAATTGTACCTCCTACAGCGATCTCATGAGCCGAAAATATCACGTGTGTCCTTCATTTTCCAGGCCCACTCAACGCCACTCTCATGTCGTAACTATAACCAATGTTTAAAGTGCTATAAGTAGTCTATGGATGGATGTTTTGAAATGACTGGTATCAGTTTTTATGTGGTTTCCATGTGACAATGGGTTTTTTTTCTTCTTGCACCCAAGAGTCTCTAGATCTTTCTGAGTCTACAGTCAGGTTGCTCCTCTGCCATGTTCTTACAGTTAGGCTTCTTTTGCTTCGTAAGGATCAACAGCATCTGATGACATCCAAGGTTTGGTAAATTAAATTCTACAATAAAAACAGCAAAGACATTTAAATTCACCTCTGAGTTTTTTCTCCCTTCCTGTAAGTATTCCTTAAGGTATCTTATAGGAATATAGGAGAAAGTCACAGGTACAGAGCACAGCAGTCATCTTATTGGATTAACCACATCAATGAGACTGTCAATGAGTACAGACTGTACTGCACAGCTCTTCTTATTTGTCCATGTGCGGCACATATGGACTATGCAGGAGGCCTGAGCATGTGTCAGCCCGACAGAGCTGGAGTGCCAACCCCCAGAGGGATTGATGAAGTACTTCTTCTAGAAATTCTGAAAACTTCTGCATGAACTCACTTAAATAATCCTCACTCAACGGTGTCACTGGAAAACTGCATTTGCTACGGCTTTGAGCTTAAATAATGTCCCGTCATGTGACAACAACTAAAGACAGAGGAGAAGCTGAGTAAACATGAGGTTGCCATTGGTTCCTATTGAATACCATGGATATACACTGTACAATACTGCTGAATAAATGGCTAAACTGCATTTGGAAAAAAAAAAAAGTGACCACAGACAGCAATGAAGTTCTTTTTTTTCAGCAGCTGAAAGTAAAACTAGAAATTCCCCACGTGTCTAATATACAGCTTTAGCCACACAGATTTGTTTTATAATGTAAATTAAAATAAGAGAATTGTGCATTTTGTCTTTACTTTATATTACTAAATACAGAGTTAACCATTGCCGACATCTCACATGAGTTTGGAACTGCGGATATAAATGGCTGGGCAGCCAATACTTTAATTAAAAGAACAAACTTTAGTCTATGGCCCTGTTTTTTTAAGGGGGAAAATAAGACTGCTTGTGTTTAAAGAAGAAAGGAGATCCAAACACAGTAATTACCCAACCTTCAAATTAAAGCTTGTCCTCATAAAACGCGAATTTCTACTTTGCTGTGCTGGTCAGCTGCTCTGTGCACACTCTCCTTAAACAACGCTCTCTTTAAAGCTGCTTCCAGTACATTCAATAAAGTTCAGTGTTCAACACTTTAGTTTCACTGTGTGTGTACTTGGTAAAGATACGTCCGCGTGGTGTTAGCATATTCTAACGACAAAGACAAGACAAAAATGAGAGCCTTGCATCTTGGCTAATTAAAAGGAACCACGCAAGACAACATGTGCAGTGTAACTTTCATCAACCCCTGCTCCTCGTGCTTCCTCTCCTGCTCCTCTTTCTCCCCAAAGCAGGGAAGGGCTTCCTCTCTGGCGTTTCAAAGGGGCAAAACCATCTGGTGCAGGCTTGGTCAAGTAGATGGGGGGGGGGGCTGCACCGAGGGGGTGTAACTACAGACTGCGCTCCCCAGTAAAGACAGGACCTGTAGGTTGTCATCACACTGCCCAAAAAAACCCAAGAGGCACTCCCACCCCTGGATCACACAGCAGAACCACAGGGCCAGGGCTTTCTGCACGCTACGTGGGCCACAGATGGACTGAAATGTTTGCCTTCCAAGACGAGGGATGTTTCCATAGTTATGTTAACCCATAAACACTATGGCTGGTAATAGAGAATAAAGAAACATGAGTTCTGTATTAAGTATTAAGGTTTGTCAGACAACCTGTGGAGTTTACATAACATATAACTAGATGCAAATTACACAAATCAGTATTTTTTTGTTAGTTGCGCTGCAGGCTTCTTCCCATCTTCCACCAGTCCTTCATAACTAACTTTAAACCTGGAGCTACGAGTCAGTACTGGGGGGACTTTAGTCTAAATCTCTGGTTCAGTGCACAACAATAAAAGCCTTTATTATCCTACATCATTATGTCTTTGTCCTCAAAGGCTGAAGGATAAGTTGTATTATGTGCCTCAAGTGTACAATGCTTTAAAAAAAAAAAAAAGGTGGGTTCAGCCCTGGAAGCAGCCTGGATTGCTACGTGTTATTCCAAACATTTCCAGCTGTAGAGTTTGGCTCTGATCAGTCAGGATCTGAAGGTGGAATCGCTCAACTATAATCAATCATCATCGGTGATGAAATATGCGACTATTGTTTCCAGTGACAGCCTGGAGTTAGTTATAACTGAACTCCAATAACACACAAACCAAACCTCGGTGTTAAAAAGGAAGAGTAAAGTGCTGGTGTTAGTCAGACATCTTAACTGTTTGAAGTAAAAGTGATTTTAAGGACTTACCGATGAGCCTGTGTGTTCGGCGGATATAACGATATAACTTCTCCTTGACAATCGGCCCTGTCAGACAGGAAAAACCCTCCACCACCATCCACACTCACACACACACACACACACACACACACACAGAGAGAGAGAGAAGCGGTGGAGAGTAATTGCCACGCTAAAAACCGGTTTTTCCTCCCAACTTCTCCCGAGGCTTTTTTTTTTTAAAACTCACAGGCTGAACTAAACCGCCAACAACGGCATCGTTTTTGTTCCTAACCCCCCCACCCTAGCACACACTAGCCCCCTGACTACAGATGTGAGGAGGGTTAGCTCGTTTCCATTCTCCGCGGCTGCCTCGGTCACTCACACAACTTTCTAACGAACATTAACCGTTGACGTTCCCGTCCGCGACTCCCAACTTCCACCTCTCTGGAAAATCTTAACCTCTCTCCTCCTCCTCCTCCTCTCTCCCTCTCTCTCCCCCCTTTCTCTCTGCCGAAGTAAATGGCACTTTGAAGGAGAAAAACAAAGGAGGAAAAGTTTTTTTCCCTCTCTCTCTCTCTCTCTCTCTCTCTCTCTCTCCGAGGCAATCCCCTCTCTCTATCTCCATCCACCGCCGTCAGTTGGGCCGTTGGCCGGGGGCAGGGAGGAGGAGGAGGAGGAGGAGGAGGAGGAGGAAGGTGGGGGCTCAGTAACGGATGAGGCCGTTGCTTTAATGAGCTAGCTGGCTATACCTGAACTCCTGTGATAAACAGATTCAATTAACTGGGTTAGTTTGAGTTTTTAAACCATAATGAACCGATAGGAGTCACTAAATCAGTCTATTAACACCAAAGCTTAACGTTAACGTCAACAACATCATATAACAGCACACAGGCTAACGTATAATCACACATTAACTGACTAACTGATGGATTAGCTACAGTGCTAGGAACAACAGAGACACTTTCTGAAACGGCTTCCTCGATAAAAGTTATAAGAAATTAGTGTATAAGTATGAATTCATTCACTAAAGCGTTACAGGGCACTTCAACCAGTAAGAACTCATCTTGGGGTTGCCAGGTTGTCTCTGTCTGGTATTTAGCCACCTCCAGCAGCACATTGGTTGTCCTAGCTCTGGTTTGTGGAGGAAATCACTCAGAACGACCTATGACCTGTGCTGCAGGGGCACTAAGCCTAAATCCGTTTATTAACACGTTAGTAAAATGTACAACTGGTTCAATTCACTTTACTTCATTTTGCCAGGGTAATCCACTCATAAATACTGCTACGGGGGACTCTTGCGTACACACATTAAAAACAAGCAGAGCAGGGAGCCCAGTTAGCTCAGTTGGTGGAGCTGGCGACCCATATACAGAGTTACTGCAGCGGCCTGGGTTTGAATCCGACCTGCGGCCCTTTGCTGCGTGTCATCCCCTCTCTCTCAACCCACCCTTCCTGTCAATCTTCAGCTGTCCTCTCCAATAAAGCCATGAAAAGGCCAAAAAAATAACTTTAAAAAAAAAAAAACAAGCAGAGCAAATTAAAACTCAGTATTATTATAATTTTTAATTACACATGACTCACTAACTTTTGCTGTTTGCTTCTACAAAGTGACAAACCTGCTTTACATTTGTAACTGTGTAGACTTGATGACACTCATTAACCTCTAATTATTATTATTGTCCTAATTAATGGCTTATAATTGATCCAAAAAGCAACAATAAATAAATTATATTTAAAGTATAAAAACCGCCTATCCAACCCTTTATGAGCTCCAATAAGACAGTGACTTACATGTGAAGACAGACAGGTTGTATATACTTCATGCTTATTCATGCTCCTCTCCTTTCTGTATTCATGCAGTGACACATTGAGGGTTAGGAGGAATTTGTGGTGTCCAGAGGGTAACAACTGTTGTCACAGGACCCTGTGGATTGTGTTCGTGCATGCAGAGAGAATGAGCTACAGCTGAATGCTGGGACTGTATGAGCACTTCATTCTCACCACAGGGTCTGCCGGAGGAGGAGGTGGAGGTGGTTGTGTGTGTGTGTGTGTGTGTGGCAGAGTCAGGATCTTATTTATAACTACGATCTTAGCAAACAGTATGGCTACCACACTATAAATTCAACAACTACACCCACAGGGTATCATTGTTTACTTCTTTAAACTGAAACAGATTATTACTTCGACAGGGCTCCAAGGTTCCACATTTACGTGCCTTTAAATATCTCAGTAACTTGGTCATTTATTGGCACATTATTCGACGTAAGACCTTTCAATGCAGGATTTAGGAAAGGACGAATGTTTGACTATACCGCTGAGAATAAAATACACTAAGTTGATCAAAGTGAAGAACTGAACTCATTATTGTTTACTCATGTTCTTTTAAAAATGCTGTTTTGTCCTTTCTGGTGAAAATATAAATCTGAAAAGTCTGAATCACAACTAATGTATTTAACATGCACAGAATCCAACAAAGCAAAGGCAAAACACCATCTTAAAGACTTTGAGTAGTACACCCATATGAACAACACACACATGAAACCAGGTATTAGTAAGGTAAAGACTAGGTTCCTCTTATTGCGACATAAAGCTCAGTTGAGATCCAAGCGAGTTCTGGGGAAATGAGGTGACAAACAAATCAGGTAGCTTTTCTCCACCCACTAACAAAACTGAACAGACGAGAATATTTCCCTGAGAATTTACCTACGCATTAGACTGAGGCATAAGGCGACCTACAGCAGGAGAATCACTACACAGCCCTTCTACAGCCTTTACAGGGGTTAACAACATAAACACATACTTTCAGTGAGAGTAATTGAAGTTCCCTGATTTATGTAGCTTTTAATTTAAACGTCAGGTCTTCATTTTCACTAACACAAGCATGGATTCTATTTACTGAAAGTCTGCATGATTTAATGACTGTATAACACATCTGTTACTAACATTTATGCAACAAAGCCTCCTGGCGTTTTCTTTCATGTTCTGGTTACAAAACAATGCGTCATCCCCGTATATTTAATATACACACTGTCTAAGACCGGTTGATACACCGAGACATATAAGACACATCTCTGTGCAGAGGAAGTGATATACCTTTAACCTCTTAGCTTCATGAACTACACCCACCGTTGTGCTCACATGTTTAACTCGCAGCAGTATCAGTGGATTGTCAGGTCTGTTTCTGGCTCCGAGGGTTGGGGGCAGAGCAGATGCTGCGACAGGAAGTTACTAACATGGTCCAGATGTAAGGACAAGAGACCACCTCCAACACAGCTGCAAAACAGGGATGACTACAGGCAGCAACTGCAGACATACGCAGGGTCCCTGTGCTGAAGAAAGCTCAATCAAGAAATTAATGTCCCTTTTTTACAATTAAGACTGAGATTTTCATCTGTCCCTGTTGTCATTGGGCCTGTCCTCACTCACTGCAGAGGTACAGTATTGAATACTATTTTTTTTAAAAGAGATATACAATAGATTCAACAGTTCAAATGAGTGAATATTCTACATATTCAAGTAATTCTTGAACTTATTCACACAGATAACAGTTCAACATTTATGTGCCCTCTAGTGTTTAAAATGATGCACTGCAACAAAGTGACAAAACAAAAAAGCCACCAGTGAGCCACTATCTTGACAGCAGTGCTTTTTTTTATTAACAAGTAGGCGTGAATTTTACTCTGAAGACAACTTTGGAAATGACTGAAAAGTACAAAAGAGTACAAACAGATGCATTTTTTTTATCATAACAATGAGCTGATCAACCTACAGGTTTCATACAAACAAAATTACTGCGTTATAAACAGTTGTGTGATGCAAAACTTTTCTCAGACGGTAATATCTGTAGGTCTATGATGTGAATGCAAAGACTATTATTTATTTAATTTCTTACCAAAGACATAACAAACTGAAATAGCTTAACAATAATCTATGTATCCACAGGGGCAGGTCTAAGGGCCTGTTTCTTTGGGTTGTTTGGTCTTTAATATCCGTTAATAGAGTTTCCGCTCTCTGGACTGCAGACCTCCAGAGGGCTGTATCTACATTTTATGTCTCCCTTGTCTGCAGTCTTTTATAGTCCATTAAAGAAAGTCACTAATCCTCATCATCCTCTTCATCAATTAAGACCATCTTCCGTCTGCGCTTCACAGGAGCAGAGATATCCTCTCTGTCTGAATCCGCATCACCGTTGGTGTCCATATCCACTGCAGTGGTAGAGTCGTCCTCTGTGAAGACAGAAATGTGTTCAGCCAAAATGCTGCAGTTCAGCCATGTTTAAACCTTTTTGGCTGTGTGCCCAGTTATTTTATCAAACAAACACTTTAAAACACTAATTTCCAACAGTACAATACCATTCTCCTCATCATCATCGTCATCCAACACTCGGTTTCTGCTTCTTTTAGTTGAGGTCTTCTCCTGGGACCTGATGTAAACAGGAATAGATTAAGAGGTAGGAGTATTTAGAATTAAAAATAGACATTTCTCAGCTGTGGTTTGGCTTAACGGATTAACAAAAAACGCAGGGTGATACCTCACCTCTCCATTGTACTGTCTGTATCCTCAGTAGGAGTGACATCTGACACAGGAGCTAAAAACAACAAAAAGTTCAATATTATAAACAATGTTATCTTAATCCTTATCTTTGATTAGTAATAGATTTAAGCCAACTGGTGTACAATGCTGCATCTTAAAGGCTAACACCTAGTTTCACACTGGCCTCCAGTGGCTTCCCGTCTCGCTTCAAAAGTAGTTTTTAACTACTTTTTTTAAACCGACATACCAGATAAATCTTAATATTGCTCTTGGTTTATCCAGCATTCTGAGATTTACAAACAAAATTATATTACACTTTTCCATGTAAGAACATCACCATTGCAGTGGATTCCTGTTGCATTTCTCAGGATGCTAAAGGACAAACATGGACTTTTTACATTTACACTAGATTAGCCAACACAAGCTATTATAGAGGCACGTTTTATGTGAACCATGTAACTTAACCCTGACCTACGTGACAGAACTGTAATTAACTGCTGTCATCTGAGACAACGTACAGAACATGAAACTCCCACACATACCTGTGTGCTCTGAGGTGTGGTGCTTCCTCTTGCGTGAGAGAAGAAGAGCTCTCAGAGCCTGAACTCTCTGTTCACCTGAGACCACCTCCTTCTCCTTCTCCTTCTCCTCCTTCTCCTTCTCCTCCTCCTCCTCCTCCTTCTCCTCATTCCCCTGAGATTCTCCAGTTGGATCCCTGGAGTCATCTTCCTCCTGGTCTTCTTTAGGTTCATCCTCTCTTGGACTAAGAGCTGCAGCTGCACTGTGGAGCTGGGATGGAGTGATGTTTGCTGGGATCCTCCAGAAGATCTCCTGGTTACAAAACAGTGAAAGATACAATTA